CCATTCCTTCAATCATGGTTTCCACTTCCTTTTCACGTGCTACCGGCAATCTTCTTGGTCGCTGACGGATAGGCAATTCTTCTCCTGTGTTTATTTTGTGTTGAACTAAGCCAGTCTTTCCTATGTCAGCATCGTTTGATGAGAATACATCGGCATACTTGAGTAACAACTTCTTCGCCTTGACCATTTCGGTCGGGGAGAGAACGCTGCGACAGTCTTCCAAAATTGTGGCCACTCTCGTTTGTGCATCCTTGCTGGGGGTCTCACTCGATAGATACGAGTATTGGCACCGACGTAACCAATCCACTTTCTCACAAGTACAAACCAGCGTGCCTTTTTCTATAATCTGTTCTCGGTCACAAAGGTACAGCACACGTACTCCTGAGATGCCAGTGGTTCTGACCAAGGTTCGAGCCACTTTCCATGAAAGGTCATTGTTTACCCTTTCCACAAGTACACAACGGTGAGCTTGCCCAGCGTTTCGGGGAAGACTAACCGGAACAATCGTTTCCGATCTCGGCGGAAGAACAATCTTCTTAATGCTGTACACGTTATCTGGTAACGCACCTTCCATAAAAAGTTCCTCCTCTCCACATTTCAAAACACCTTGCTTAACGTCGATCTCACAACAATTATTCCTCATGAAGTCCAGGCCTAGGATGCAGTCGTCCATTATATCAGCCACGATGACATTATGCAGGTAGACCACGTTGCCTAGCTTCAACTCCATCTCCTTCTCTCCACGGACGGGTATACGCTGACCGGTGGCTGTTACCAAATTAATGCGTTCTCGGTTGTATGCGGAGTCCCCAAGGAACTGACTTATAAGTTGGGAACTAACAACCGTACGAGAGGCTCCAGTGTCTATTGTCAGTTTACACGGCATTCCGTTGACCTCGCCCTTGATGATTAGACTGTTTCCATCATGGGTTTGTGAGATCGCGATCCTTGGGGCTCTTTTAACATCAGCCAGCACCCGCCCCGCAGTTCTGGCTTTTACTCGTTTCCCTGCTGCTGCTGGGCGGTGCTGTTGGCCGCACTACCCTCCTGAGATCGTTCAACTTCCCTTTCTAGGGTTCGCTTAGGGCAGCTGGATCGAAGATGGCCCTTTTCCCCACAGCCATAGCACCTAGGGCTGTATCCTTTGTTGTGGTCGCGAACTGTAGCTGCTGCAACCTCCCTGACGCAGATGTTCTCCAGTCCATGGGCCAAGGCGTCCTTAAGCGTCTCGTGGTGCCCGAGCCTCACAGCAGCTCTGACTTCCAGGTCGCGGATGCCGTCGATGAATGTACTGCACCAGGTTCCCTTCAACGAGCGCAGGTACAGACCGGTATGCTTTTCGCGCTAGCTTCTCCACCTCTAGAGCCCACTGCTGCAGGTTTTCGTTGATGCGCTGCACGCGATCTTTAAGCTGCGCACGAAAGACGTGTTCCAGGTGAGCGTCGCCATATCTCGCCTCCAATACCTCAATGAGTTGCTCATAAGTCACTTCCTCACCGAGAGCTTGCAGAACTGTTAAGGCCTGGTCGCGCAGGCCTAGTGTGAGAGCAGTCATGGCCTGACTTTTATTCCAGCCGTTCGCCTTCATAACAGCCTCGAACTGGATTTTGTAGGCTGACCAGGAAGAGGTACTTGACTTACGGGAGCTGTAGCTCCATCTCCAAGTTTGAGTTCGTCCAGTGATTTCTTCATGTCAGCCATTACGTTGTCAACCCGATTGTTTACTTGGTCGATTCGGGTTTTAGCTTTCTCGATTCGGTTTTCAGCTTTCGCGATTTGGGTTTCAGCTTCCGACAGGCGGTTGTCATGCTGAGCAACTATCCTTCACCTCCTTTATCTCCTTCCCGAAGGTAGCGTGAAGGTCCTTCATGAGGAACATCTGCTCTTCCAACCGACGGGCCTGTTCCTCTTGTCCGCCCCGCAGCTGCTCCTCCAAACGACGAACCTGGTCTTCCTGCCGGCGGGCCTGGGCCTCCTGGCCGCCCCGCAGCTGCTCTTACAATCGGCGTGCTTGTCGTGTGCCTGTTCCGCCTGCTGGCGATGTGTCGGCCTGTTCCTCCTGCTGCTCTTTCAACCAACGGGCCTGTTCCTCCTGTCAGCGAGCCTGCTCCTCCTGTCAGCGAGCCTGCTCCTGCAGCATCACCATCAGAGCACCTAAGTCAGGTGCTGCAGATGTAGGGGCTACCGACGGGCCTGCAGCCGGGGGCTGGTCCTCCGACGTCTGCGGCGTTGCACCACCAAATCTTCTTTGGTCCGTCTCCTGCTGGCGTTGACTTCGGGTACGGACACCCTCCGTTTCCTCCTTAGGTAAAATCGGCATGATTTTATCCCACTTCTGACACCAATTGTTACCAGCTTGAGGTTCGTGACAATAAAAATTGCCGATAGAATTACATAAATTAACACTTTAATTTTCTTTACACAAATTATAGTTAAAAACACTAATAATTAATCACACTGATTCACTTTATTCCGCTCCGAAGCTTCGCTTGTCTCGCCAACTTCAATACTTCCCCGATCGCACCTTGCAGCGCCTATAAATACACATTAGTACCGAATCATCCAGAATATTCGAGTAAACACGCACAAGGTACCGAGAGTTCGAGTTTCAGCTTCTAGAAGTTTAGTTCTTCAGTTCGAGACTAGATGGCGCTGTCGGTTGAAAGATTAGTGATGTCATTTTCTGGAAAGCTCCCCTCGCTCTCGTCTCTGACACTAGATGGCGCTAGTGCCGACTTAGGCGCGTAACAATACTAAATCGTCTATTTAAAAAATGTAAATATACGAACAATGAAACTAACCATATAATGTGTGTAGCCTATTTGTTTCGTTTTTTTTTTCTTTTAAAATAATTTAAAAATCCTTATACGAGTTGTGTGTATTTACCTTAGTTATTATTTTATTTATTCTTTCAGTCCAATTAGATATGAATATGGCTATGCACGTGTCCTTGGACTTTCAGTCCAATTATATATGAATATGGCTATGCATATGTATATGTATATTATATATTAGGAATTTTTGGCCATCAAGAGCGAGCGTGCACTCAGCCGCCCGAGCTGCCTCTGGGTAAGGGCTGGACTGAAAACCAGTGCTATCACTGAGTCCGTATATTTTTAAAAGGTTTTCTTAAATTTATAATAATATTAAATTACTTTTAATTTACTTATATTTATCTTTTGGCATTTAACTACTTTTTGCTTGTTATACTGCATGCTTAAACTGGAATAAAATGCATTTCTTTCTTTCTATTTTCGAGCACGGCTTCCGGCAAGCGCTTGTAATACGGCAATTTCCGATCCACGAGACCACATTACAAAGCAAACTCCTGGTGAAGAATTCTGGCTACTAGGTTGTGTCTGTGCAAGTACTCAGAGTTAGAAAGCGCCGAACAACCGGAGATGACATACCTAAGTGACTCACCGGGATGGCGACAAGCTCGACAGATGTCGACGGTGCCATCCTTTAGGATGTATCTCCGATAGTTGTTGGTTTTAATAACCTGATCTTGTATTGCACAGACAAAATCCTCGGTTTCCCGGAAGTGGTCACCAAAGCGTAGCCAGTGGAGGGAGGCTACTGTGTCTACGAAAGGCTCATGTAGAGCCTTGTAGAACCTCCCGTGGAGCTCCTTCTCCTTCCATACGGTCTCCCGGTCGGAAATGCTCTGCACTGCCGGGTCTTGCCACTGCTCGTTGGCTAAGGATAGAGGGGTAAGTCCTTTATCACAAGAAATGACGTCCTTATAGAATGGATCATCCGACCTCGCCAGGAAGTAATCACGGAGGCTGCACACTTCGCGATTATGCATGGTGAGCGCGCTCTAGAAGCCACGCCCATCATGCTTTCGCGGCAAGTACAGCCTCATTACCGACGATCTCGGATGATGCATCCTATGGGACGTCATGGTAGTCCGGACTTTTCTATCCAGGGCGTTAAGTTCAGTCTGAGTCCACCTGAGTATGCCAAAGGTATACATGATGACAGGCATGACCCAGCCGTTATATGCGTGTGCCTTATTCACACCGGACAAAAGGCTGTTAAGCACTTTGGTCAAGCGTGCATAAAACACGTCGCAAACTGACTGTTCATACCAGCCTCATCGATACCGATGTTCTGTGACATACCCAGGTATTGGTATATTTCAGCCTCGGAAAGGGTCCTTAAGTTGACGGGCATAGATAAGTTTATGCCCTCAGAGTTAGCAACCCTTCCCCTTACAACATGGAGGACCGCACACTTATCCGTCCCCAGCTCCATTCCAATGGAATTGCTAAATTCACAAGTGATGTTTAGCAATTCCATAAGATGGGAGCGACTGGAGGCGAATAACTTGAGGTCATCCATATGGAAAAGGTGGGTCACTTTTGTCCCTCCTTTCCTGTAACTGAAATCCCCTCCCGGAGCCCTCCAGTAAGGTACTGAGAGGGTTCAGAGAGAGGCAGAACCAGATTGGACTCAGACAATCGCCCTGGAAGATACCCCTTCTTATCCTTATGTGGTTCTCCGCAGCCATCACCCGCCCAGATGACAAAGGATCGTACTCCACTGCCCCATACACTGCTCGAGGAAGTCTCTAATTTTACAGTCTATCTTGTACAGCTCGAGGACTCTCTTTAGCCATGTATGGGGCACCGAGTCGAATGCCTTTCTGTAGTCTGTCCAGGCAGCGGAGAAGTTCCACGGTTGCGTTTCACCACTTTTCCAATGACCGCGTCAATGAGGAGTGGTTCCTTGGTTCCACGACCACCGCCCCGACATCCATTTTGAGCGCGCGACATCACCTGATTTGAGTCCAGGTGACGAGTGATTCTCCCGCTCAAAATGGATGTTAGTGTCTTGTATATGGTCGGTAGACACGTGATGGGGCGGTATTTTCTCTGGTCTGCGGTACCCTGGTCTTTAGGAACCAAATGGGTGATCTCAGTAGTGAAGAGACTCGGGAGCGACTTCTGGTTGAAAGCCTCTTGAAACTGTCGGGCGAGCACAGTGTGACACACCACGAACCCTTTCAGCCAGTAGTGATGCAGCCCGTCGAGTCCGGGACTTTTCCAGTTCGGGGCCCGACGGACCGCCTCAGCTACGTCATCCGGTATTATAATGACGGGGTCCATGGGCGTTATACTCGCACACTGACTCGCCACAACTTCCGTCCAAGGGCCCTCGCTTTGTTTTACGGGCTCTGACCACAGGCCGCGCCAGAATGCAACAGTGTCAGCCTGATTCGGTGCTGGGCCCGTTCCACTTACCATTGGTCGCTCCAATGATTCATAGAGCCTCTTCTGATCACTCTGGAAGAGACGATTCTGGTTGAACTGTGTCGACCTCTCGGTATATTGCCGAATCCGCTTTCCCCAAGCAGCGATTCTCTGCTTCAGATCATCTATGCGCTCCGTCAATTTTTGCGTTATATCCGGCTGGGACAAACTGACATTTGTTCCAGCAAACGCCATCCTGACGGTGCGCACAATTCTTGGCCTGTTATTGCCTGATCTGAAGCATATCAGTCTGCCGATGAGAGCTCTAGCCTTTGCGATACGTTCCTCAATTCTTCTTCTCCATGCTGGGATAGCGCTACTTTGGCCAGTAGCGCGTCCAGCCGTGGAAACCTTGGCGCCTATGATACGGCAGACTGCCAGCACGGCGCCAAAAAGAATTGAGTCCATCTCGCACCGCTGGTTCGTCACCAGCATTGGGTTCAGAGCCCTCACGACAGCCCGATTCCGCTTTTAGGGCTATGCGGGGAAGTCGAGGTCGATTTTCGAGAGGCGTACTGCGCGTCTCCACAATCACCTCTTCCAATGTACTCCTCATATGCTCTAATTCCAGTTCCTGGACGACTGTTCCATCATCGTTTGAATCAACCACAAATGGGGTATTCACGGCGGCATCCACGTTTGAGGGTTGTTCTACAATTTGTGGCGCCGCATCCTCAGCCGTAGCATTTTCATCCGATGAGGGAACAGCCTCACGTCGTAGCCGTTCGAGTTCGGCAACCACAAATATATATACCGAACTCGGTCTGCCAGGTTTTGCTCGGTATGGTTATGGCGATACATGACGATACGCCAAACATCCAGTTTCTTCCCCTATTGCCCTAAAGTACGCCCGCAGTGCGTTTGCGTTCATTGTTTGTGACCAACGCGTGCGACGTGCTCCACCAGCGGGGGCGGTCCGAGAGAGAAAGCTTTTGGTGGGAGGATGCGGGCCGCATGCTGCCGCGTCCAGCGCCAGCGCCAGACGCGCCCCAGCGACCCCCAGGCAGCGGCCCTATGCGCGTTCCTCTTTGTGTCATCATCCATTTTATGGGCGCCAAATAACGGGAGACGCGCAAGCCCGGCACCGTTTCGTGGTTCGGTCATATGCACAAACGGACCTTTGCACCCACAATTTTGCCTAGGCACGGCGCTCACACCTCTTGGCAGGGTGCTGACTGACTGCGCCAACGTAGCAGTTTTGTCACATAACTGTTACGTCAGCGGGCGATGGGGTCATCACTTCCCTACGCCTATTATTATTATTAGGGGGGTATCAATATAGTTTTCTCATCTGGTTGGGTTCTATAAATATATAATTCAAAATGAAAATGAAAAGATAAATATAGATAAATATCAATAACATAAAATAAATATAAAAATACATAAATAAATAAAAGCCCAACCAGATGGAGGCCCTCGGTAGGGGAGACAAAACGGCCGAGAGTTAGGGGGAAAGGGAAAGAAACAGGCGGACGTTGCGGGCGGTATCGAGGAGCACCGCCTTCTGCATTTGAGCCTGGAGCGGTCCGCCATGTAGTCCCAGCCGCCTCAGATGACCCGAGAGGCTGACTGGGATTACCCCGTTTGCAGAGACGACTACAGGAATAATTTCGGTCGGCAGACCACCCCACATGTCGGTCACCTCGTGAGCCAGGTCCAGATATTTTGTTTGCTTATTTGTTTCGGCTTTCACGAGGTTCTCGACATAGGGAATGGTAATGTCGACCAAAAATATCCTTGACTGTGCCCGGTCCATCAGCATAATATTAGGCTTATTCGCAAGCGAATAGTCCTGTCTGTGATGATGGCCCTGTCCCAGTAGAGCCTGGCCCGGTCATTTATCGAGCACGGCTTCCGGCAAGTACTTGTAATACGGCAATTTTCGGTCCACGAGACCGTATTTCAGAGCGAGCTCCTGGTGTAGAATTCTGGCTACTAGGTTGTGCCTGTGCAAGTACTCAGAGTTAGAAAGCGCCGAACAACCGGAGATGACATGCCTAAGTGACTACCCGGGATGGCGACAAGCTCGACAGACGTCGACAGTGCCATCCTTTAGGATATATCTCGGATAGTTGTTGGTGTTAATAACCTGATCCTGTATTGCACAGACAAAACCCTCGGTTTCCCCGAAGAGGTGACCCAAGCATAGCCAGTTTAGGGAGGCGGCTGTATCTACGTGGGGCTCATGTAGAGCCCTGTAGTACCTCCCGTGGAGCTCCTTCTCCTTCCATAAGGTCTCCCGGTCGGAAATGCTCTGTACTGCCGGGCCTCGCCATTTCTCGTTGGCTAAGGATGGAGGGGTAAGTCCTTTATCACTAGAAATGACGTCATTATAGAATGGATCATCCGATCTCACCAGGAAGTGATGACGGAGGCTGCACGCTTCGCGATTATGCATGGTGAGCGCGCTCAGGACGCCACGCCCACCATGCTTTCGCGGCAAGTACAGCCTCATTACCGACGATCTCGGATGATGCATCCAATGGGACGTCATTGTAGTGGGGACTTTTCTATCCAGGGCGTTAAGTTCAGTCTGACTCCACCTGAGTATGCCAAAGGTATACATAAGGGCAGGCATGACCCAACCGTTATATGCATGTGTCTTATTCACACCGGACAAAAGCTGTTAAGCACTTTGGTCAAGCTTGCATAAAACACGTCGCATACTGACTGTTTCATACCAGCCTCATCGATACCGATGTTCTGTGACATACCCAGGTATCGGTATATTTCAGCCTCGGAAAGGGTCCTTAAGTTGACGGACATAGATAAGTTTATGCCCTCAGAGTTAGCAACCCTTCCCCTTTCAACATGGAGGACCGCACACTTATCCGTCCCCAGCTCCATTCTAATAGAATTGCTAAATTCACAAGTGATGTTTAACAATTCCATAAGATGGGAGCGACTGGAGGCGAATAACTTGAGGTCATCCATATGGAAAAGGTGGGTCACTTTTGTCCCTCCTTTCCTGTAACTGAAATCCCCTACCGGAGCCCTCCAGTAAGGTACTGAGAGGGTTCAGATAGAGGCAGAACCAGATTGGACTCAGTCACCCTGAAATATACCCCTTCTTATCCTTATGCGGCTTTCCGCAGCCGTCATCCGCTCGCCTAGATGACAGAGGATCGTACTCCACTGCTCCATACACTGCTCGAGGAAGTCTCGAACTGTACAGTGAATCTTTTACAGCTCGAGGACCCTCTTTAGCCATGTATGGGGCACCGAGTCAAATGCCTTTCTGTAATCTATCCAGGCGGCGGAGAAGTTCCGACGGTTGCGTTTCACCACTTTGCCAATGACCGCGTCAATGAGGAGTGGTTCCTTGGTTCCACGACCGCCGCCCCGACATCCATTTTGAGCGCGCGATATCACCCGATTTGAGTCCAGGTGACGAGTGATTCTCGCGCTCAAAATGGATGTTAGTGTCTTGTATATGGTCGGTAGACACGTGATAGGGCGGTATTTGCTCGGGTCTGGGACACCCTGATCTTTAGGAACCAAATGAGTGATCCCAATCAATCCCCAAAAATCCCAAAAAGCTTCCGACAGGCGGTTGTCATGATGAGCAACCCTATCCTTCACCTCCCTTATCTCCTTCCCAAAGGTAATGTGAAGGTCCTTCATGAGGAGCATCTGCTATTCCAATCGACGTGCCTGTTCCTCCTGTCCGTCCCGCAGCTGATCTTCCAACCGACGAACCTGTTCCTCCTGCCCACGCTGCAGCTGCTCTTCCAACCGACGGATCTGTTACTCCTGTCGGCGGGCCTGCTCCTGCAGCATCACCATCAAAGCACCTAAGTCAGGTGTTACAGACGTAGGAGCTGCTGACAGGCCGGCCTCCGTGGCCGGCGGCTGGCCCTCAGACGTCTGCGGCGTTGCACCCCCGAATCGTCTCTGGTCCGTCTCCTGCTGGCGTTGACTTCGGGTACGGACACCCTCCGTGTCGTCCTTCGGTAAAATCGGCATGATTTTATCCCACTTCTGACACCAACTGTTACAAGCTTAGGGTTCGTGACAATAAAAACTGCCGATTGAATTACCAAAATTTACACTTTTATTACTGAACACCAATTAAAACTTAAATCACACTACTAATTATTCACACTTAACACTTTAGTTCACTTTATTTCACTCCGAAAGCTTCGCTCGTATCGCCGATTCAATACTGCCCCGGTCGCGGCCCTCAACGGCTTTAAATAATCCTTTTCCACCGAAACATCCAGAATATTCCAGCAAATACGGCCTCCGACCGACATACTCAGCGTTTATGTATTTATGCTGATGGACGCTTTATACGTATTATGGGTGGTGCTGGTGTAACCATAACTCCTCTCTCCTCAACTGTAAAGTTATCGGCAAGATTTGGATTCCGATGACTTTGCATACAATGTAAGAGCTTAGACTTATTTTTCCAAATTACAATAATAAGGCTAATTAAAACTAATATAACATAGAATAGTACAGTAAGTAAACTAACACTTTTCTTATTCACTAAGATTTCACTTTCACTTTCCACTATTTCTCTTTTCAGTTTGTACGAAAGATATTATTTTAGTTCATCCAAATTAACGTGATATAAATTCACTGTATTCTCCGCCTTCGTGGGCTGCTCTATCAATTTGGGTAGAGTTAAAATAGGTGTCCACCCTATATTGCAGTTTTCCTGAATAGTATCGTTTTCGGTGTAATTTAATATTGCCTAATTTTATCTCACAGTTTTCATCAATTTCCAAGAGGTAAGTGTCCTTTACAGCATTTCTTTGAGTGTCATCGTCACACGTTTTTGTAAGCACTATTTCATTTTGTGTAAATAGGATCCTGTAAATAGGACCAATAGACTGAATCTTAACACTTTCCAGCTCTACTATTGATAGTTTACAAAGGCTTAGATTTAATGCGAAGTTCATAAGTTGTTCTATGCATGTGTTTTCAGGATACTGCACGATATCAATTTCCTCACACAGGAGCTGGTTTGCTGCTATCTCCTGACACGGACCATTTAAGGGTAAGTACGTGTGATCTTTCACCATGAGGTAAGGATATTTGGGAAAAATAACAGTTGTTCTATTATAGGTAGGATCAAAAATAGGTAAGGCATACATTTTAAAATAACTGTATGTAATATTATCAGTCAGAGGGATTTCCATAATGAACGTTATTTGGTTTTCTTTTACATAGGCCTTAACAGACATAGATCTTTCTAAATTAACTAAATTGTTTTCAGTAATAGGATACAATAAACTATTTGTTTGAGATATAGATTCTAATATTATTGACAAACATGTTAAACATACTTAAAGCATATGTGTAGTATATGCTGTTATTGTCTTTAGTAATTATATATTTTACAATTCTTTCTATACGTTTCATTCGTTCCTTTACAATTTTCATATTTTCCTGTAGAGATCCAGTACTATTTATAAGAGAGTCAAGGATCTCAGAGATTATTGTTATTTTCTTATTAGTGTGCGTTTGCTGGGTATTTAATTGAGATATGATAGTATTGTCGTATTTTACTGCATCATTGTGGTCTAAGTTTCCTGTAAGCGCTTTAATAACAGAACCTAATGGATTAATAAGACCGCGCTTGAAACGTATCGAACAAAAGGTTTCTTAATAGATAGTTCCATTTGTTGATCCAACGTATTTTCTATAATTGCAGTGGCATTCGATTTCACAATAACTAACTATAGAACTGACACTGACTCTAATAGCAGAAATTGTGGACACGTAATGCGCGTTCAAGATTCGGTAGACAATTGAAGCGGCGGGGGGAGGCGTCTTAGGCTTGACCATCTTCTCCCGCCCTTGGAACACCCTGGTGTTCCAATAGTGCTGGTAGGCGGCACAGACTATTGTATGCTCGTCGCAGCGTTCAAGTGCTGGTGGTGACGTCAGCGACGCGGTTGATGCCGTCAGAGCCGGGATAAAGTTGCGTGACCCTTCCTAGGAGCCACCGATTTGGGGGTAGCCGGTCCTCCTTGATTAAAACCATGTCCCCCAGGTTGATGTGACCTTCATCCTTGCGCCACTTATTTCGCATTTGCAATTCTGCAACATACTCTTTGTGATATCTTTTCCAAAAATGATTAACGAGCGCCTTGATTCGCTCGTAACGTGAAAGGCTGTGAATCGTTGAGTGTTCAACCACCTGTGGAAGTGGTAAGTTAGTTAAGGTCCGTCCAATAAGGAAGTGTGCAGGTGTCAGGTGAACGAGGTCATTGGGATTAGAGGACAAGGGAGTAAGCGGCCTTGAATTTAGTATGCCTTCGATTTGAATTAAAGCTGTATTCATTTCCTCATATGTGAGATGAGCGAGTGATAATATACGTTTCAAATGATATTTTATAGACTTTACTGAGCTTTCGGCTAAGCCGTTAAAATGGGGACTGTAAGCAGGCGAAAACTTAAAATTAATTGATATGTCGGATGCAAATGAACTCAGGTTGTTCTAATTATTTTTTAAAAATTTAGAAAGTTCGTTATTTGTGGCCACAAAGTTTGTGCCATTGTCTGAAAAGATGTTGGCAGGTCTGCCTCTGCGAGAAATAAATCTATTGAGTGCAGCTATGAAACCTTGGCAAGATAGATCTGTCACTAACTCGATGCACTGCACGCACCGCTAGACAAACAAAAACGCAAATATAAGATTTGATTAATTTTGAACCCCTGCCTTTTCTGTCCGATATCATTACTGCCCCGGCATAATCAACAGCTGTGTTAGAAAAAACATGTTCAGTGTGAGTTCTTTCAGAAGGGAGATTACCCATGATAGGCTGTATAGTTTTACCTGAAAAGCGACAACATTTTATGCAATTTTTAACTGTTTTTCTTGCTAGATTTCTCCCTCCTACTGGCCAATATTTGTGACGAATACTTGATAATAATAATTGTGGTCCTGCGTGCATGAGAAGTGTGTGTTGATGTTTGAAATTAACATAGTGAAATAATGTGAAGCGTGAAGTATGATTGAATTTTTTGTGTCATAATTGTAGTGTGAATTTCTTAACCTGCCTCCAACTCTCATTACACCGCTGTTATCTATGAATGGTGTCAGAGAACTTAATTTATTTTTAGGTGACAGCTGTGCAAGAATGGAATATTCTGTTGAATATTGTCTGTAGTTAGTATTTCCTGTTGGAAATAATTCTTGTTGAACCGTCTTACATAAATAATTATTAGCCATGGTAAGTTCCGAAACCTTTAAACATAAATTTAATTAAATTAAATTTAATATTCGAAACAACTCAAATATGTTTCGAATATTGTAAATAAATCTAAATACATAAGCTGTTACGTGTAATAATTTTGTAAAGCTTGAATAACGATTAATCAAATTGATTGTGAAATTATTATTTAATGATAAATGACATCGAATTTTTGTTTCAGGTAAGTCAGCTGGTTGAATCAGCTGTGGCTGCTGCGGCCAAGATGATTCGTCGTGTGATAAAAATGGAGGACCTGACCACCAGAGATCCGCATTGTTCAACTGAGCTGCGTTCAAACCTCTGGACCCGATATCTGCTGGATTTAACTGTGAGGGAATGTATCGCCAAGAAGATTGATCTGTGTGTTCCGTGATTCATTGATTCTATTTAATACAAACAATTTTAAATTCGATTTAGATGTTTTAATCCAACCTATATACCTATATAACCTATGGTATAATCGCACAATAGATGCTATCTTGAACATTAAGTCTTAATGAATTTTTTACCTTGTTAGCTAAAAGTGACGCCAATAGCGCACCTTGCTTTTGGCGAATAGAAGTTTTGTCTGAATTTTATTGTTTTTATCAATTGATCTGAGATAAATACAGGCGCTGTATGCGTTGCAGGATGCGTCACTGAAAGCATGAATTTCTATTTTAATGGGTGAGTTACATATTATGTGTCTAGGTACCTTAATCTTGTTTATAGGAGTTAAATTTTCTTTAAATATATTCCAACTGTGTAAAAGTTCATGGGGTAATTCATTGTCCCATGATATATTTGCAGCCCACAATTTTTGTAATAATAATTTTGCTTGTAGTATGCATGGATTGATAAGCCCTAATGGGTCAAATATTTGAGCAATTGTTGAAAAGACTGATCGTTTACTAGATTTTATGTTTTTTATGTCAAATGTAAATGAAAATAATAATGTGTCTGGTTTACTATCCCAAAGAAGACCTAATGTTATAGTGCAACTGTCATTGTTTAAAGTCAATAGTTCGTCTGTTGAGTTATTTTGTTGTATAGCGTCCAAAATAAGTTTACTATTAGACCTCCATTTGCGTAAATGAAACTGCCCTGTTTGTAGTTGTGTAGTAACGCCCTTGCATATGCGTGTAAGTTCTTGCATTGAGTCGTGGCCTGAAATGTAATCATCCACGTAAAAGTTATAAAGTATAGTTTCTTGTATGTGTATGTCTGTGCACTCTTGGCCCAACTGAACAAGACATCGTGTGGCGAGATACGGGGCCGATGCGGTCCCATAAGTAACTGTATTTAATTTATATTTCTTTACCTCCTCAGAAGGGTTGAAACGCCATAAAATTTGCTGTAAAGCATTGATTTTCAGTGATAAGAACATTTTTTCGACATCAGATGTCACTACGAATTTATGCTGACGAAATCTTATTAAAATACTAATATTTTATAATTCGGAAAATGTCAAATTGAAGTGGTTGTGTGTACAAGTGCTGTTGATGATTTGGTACCAATAAATTCAAATAGTGTGTTCCATGTTATAAAAGTACAATCAAGATATGAGGCAGGCTAAAGATGTTTAGCGCTAGTGTTTTCTCACTGTAATTATAAACTTAAAGTGCAAAACTTTGAAAAAACTATTCGCGTGAATTACGAACTTTTAAAATCTACCTTCATAATTTTATATTTCTTTTACGTCATTGATTACCGGTTTTGTCAATGAAAGCGAACTATAGACAATAGTGTTGCCATTACAAGAAATTTTCTTCTAAATCAGTAAAAAAATAAAAAAGTAAAATGAGTCCAAAAAGCTTTACATGTTCTAAATGTAGCAAAACCACAAACGACAAGAAGCTATCAGTAAGTTGTAACTCCTGCAAGAGCATTTTATGTGGTGATTGTCATGGAATGTCACCAACTGAAGTAAGAGTGTTCGAGTTAAAGACAATAGCTCGAGTGGTTTCTTTCTTATGTGTCGATTGTAAGTCACTAATGGCACAAATACCAAATATAATGAAACAACTGGAGGAACTTACTAAAGAAGTACACCACTTGCGATTACGTCAAAACATGCTTGTAACTGAAGGAGCAATACAAGAATTGGCTGAGCGCACTAAGAGAACTAACAATATAATAATTTACGACGTACCAGAATCAACCTCGGATAAACCTTTACAAAGGCAGGAGCATGATAAAGAGGAGTGCAGGAAAATAATAACATGTGTGAGCAAAAAAGTTAGCTGTGATAATGTGAAACTATTTCGTCTTGGTAAGTTTCAAGCTGGGGCTTCTCCTCATCCCATTAAAGTAGTAATGAAGTCTAAGAATGATGCTATTGAGATACTTCGTAACAAAACTAAACTGGATAAACCGTCAAATATTAAATCAGATCAAACTGCCATGCAACGCGAGTACTTAAAATACCTCCGTGATGAATTAGAGAATCGTACTAATAATGGAGAACAAGGCTTGACTATCAAGTATATACAAGGGCAGCCTAAAATTATCTGTAAACAGGAGATAAAAAACTAGTCCAAATTCACCAACCCTCACTAGTAAATCTTTTTAACAAAAAAACGCGATCTTCGATACCTTCCGCACTCTTAACAATAACCATCTTATACACAAACATACAATCGATAACACCTAAACTGGATTTATTCATTGCAAGAGTTGATCAACTAAAACCATCAATTATAGTCCTCTCAGAAACATGGCTAAAACCAAATATACCTGACTCACTGATAAAGATACCGGGTTACGATTTATACAGAGACGATCGTATTGATAAACGAAGTGGAGGAGTCGCTATTTATGTATTGAACAATATTACATATATGACATCAAAGCGAAATAGTCAGTATAATACGAAGTATGACTCTTGGGAATGTTTATGAGTTTAAGAGAAAAAAAAATTATTTGGAAGAGATATACTGTAACAGGGTCAGATAAAATCTATAAGGAATACAGGAAGCTAAATAACAAACTGACTAATTTAAGGCGCACGGCAAGGGCAGTTTACGAAAATCAACTATTAGATCTAGGACCAAAGAAATTTTACTCGTACATCAGGCAGCAAATCACCTTTAAAGTTAGTACACCAAACATTTTACGGAACAGTAATGGGCAGTCTGTGACACGTTCTAAAGACATAGCAGAAGTATTTGCAGAACATTTTTCTAATGTATTTGAAAGAAAACCACTAGAAGAACTTCCCGCGCTTGACCCAAACCTAAGAGCAACTGAAGTTATGGAGGACATCATGTTCACAGAATCCAAAGTACAAGCTGCTATCAAAGAAATGAATATAGACTCTTCACCTGGCCCCGACGAAATACCCGTACATGTTTTAAAGAACTGCGGAATTGATAGTTACCTAGCATCAGTAATGCAAAAATCATACGACAAAGGAGTTTTGCCTTATTTATGGAAAACGGCTTTAGTGACTCCTGTTTACAAAAAGGGAAACAAATTAGATCCTGCAAATTATAGACCGATAAGCTTAACTAGTGTGGTGTGCAAAGTCATGGAAAAGATAATAGTTAAGCACATGAGACAGTTCCTTAACAAACAACAAACTATTGGTAAACAGCAATATGGTTTCTGTCCTCATAGATCAACGATTTCCAGCTTGATGTCTTGCTTATCATCCTGGGTCAACAGTCAAAATGATCGAGAACCAATACATGTTATATATCTGGATTACGAAAAAGCTTTTGATAAAGTACCAATAGGCAGGCTTTTACATAAATTGGAATATGTTGGTATTCGAGGGAAACTATTAACTTGGATTGAGAGTTTTCTACGACAAAGAACCTTCAGAGTAAGGATTAGCGATACATTGTCAGATGAAAAAGAAATACAAAGCGGTGTGCCACAAGGTTCTGTACTGGGACCGGTATTATTTATACTGTTTACCTTTGATCTACCAAAAAGCTTGAGTTGTAATGTAAGTATGTTCGCTGATGACACGAAGATATTCGCAAACCCACTAGTGGACTTTGATCGCCTTCAAGCAGATCTAATTAAAATATCAGATTGGTCAAAAAGGTGGCTTATTAAATTAAATATAAATAAATGCACAGTCCTCCATATAGGAAACAGAAACCCTCGATTAATATATAATATCGACGATATACCTTTGGAAGAAGTTAAAGTACAAAAAGACTTAGGTGTGCATATAAGTAACGATTTAAAATGGAATCATCATATAACAGTTATAACTAAAAAAGCAAATAGTTTTATTTACCTGATTAGAAAAGCCTTCGGACATCTTACACCAGAAATGATGCTAAAAATACATAAGGCATACATTCGACCTATTTTGGAGTATGCGTTCCAAATCTGGAGCCCCTATTTCAAAAAGGATATCGAGTTACTGGAGAAAGTTCAACGTAGATTTTCAAAGGTCCCTAGAGTATTGAAAAACATACCATATGAGGAAAGGTTGAATAAGCTTAAATTAACGGCACTGAAGGATCGCAGAGAACGGGGAGACTTGATCGAAGCATATAAAATTATACATGGACACTACGATCTGGAAAATTTTGACAGAGATTTATTCCAGTACTCAACAAACACACATCTTAGGGGACATCACTTCAAATTAACCAAAACCGTGTCACATAACAACCCACACAAGCATTTTTTTTAGCCAAAGAGTGGTTGAAGCATGGAATAAACTGCCATCAAAAGTAATATCTGCACAAACTATTAACCAATTCAAGAACAGATTAGACAAACATCTAAAATAAGAATAATTACATATTTGAAAATAGGATACGGGCTTACATCAGTTGTTTCAACTGCTAGCCTGTTAAGTAATAATAATAATAATAATAATAATAATAATAAGATCATCTTGTACAGTTGGCCCAACATGCTGGAGTTGATTAAATGAAATACCGTTAGATGTTGCTGCGGAAGCGTCGAACAATACTTGCAGGTTGGTTTACTTGCAGGACTGGATTCTTTGAGCACCCCATGATGAGGTAAGTAATATGAATTAATTTCATTGTTGTCTTCATTTAAAGACATATGACCTAAGTTTAGGTATTCTTTCATGAAGTCAATGTATATTGTTTTGAAAGGAGGATCACGTGCAAATCTACGTTCCAATGATAAAAATCTCGACATGGCTTGCTCATGAGAACTACCTAGTAATTGTGGTGAATGTTTTAATGGTATAGTAACTATGAACCGACCGTCACTTTGACGGGTCGTTGTATAATGATTTCTTATATTTACGCGAACACTACACATTGAAATAATACTAGTTTTTACGGAATTTATCGCGTATATTTAACTTTTTAAATACCCGACGTTTCGAACGCTTTACAGCACTCATGGTCACGGGCGGGACTGAGATGTTCAACATCCATATGTCATAGTTAACCGCGGTTACCATAGATTAAAATTTAACTTTTGTTCCGATCTATGCATGAACTTATGGTATCTTGAAGTCTTCCAGTTGTATGCTTGGGTTGGGATTTAATTTTATTTATTATAGGATCCCAAGCAGATGGTAGCACCCAGTCATCTTCTCTATTGAAATTAGGATGTTTTTTGATTTCAATAGCCTCGCGAATCATCCTTGGAAGGAATCGGTGTTCTTTAGCGAGGATTTGCGGTCTATCAAATCTGATGTAGTGACGGGGGCGATCCTGTACGTGTTCACAGACTGCAGACTTCCCGGAACGTCGATTCTTCACATCAGCTATATGTTCTTTAACGCGGGTTTTTATTGATCTTTTAGTTTGTCCTATGTAGGAGAGACTACATTCACAATCAAGCTTGTATACTAATGCATCTTGCAGAGGGACATTACACTTGACTGGTGGTAAAAACTGACCAATCTTCTTCAGCGGCTTGAAGTATGTTTTGATGGAAGCGCGCTTCAAGATGTAGCCAATCTTATCAGTGACTCCTCTAACATATGGCAGTACATCAGGTACACGCTCGACTGTGGCCGGCTTCACTCGTTCACTGTGACGTAGGCGCGGGACTCGAAGCTTGTTGTCATGCAAAACTTGCTTGACATGGTGGAGCTCTGCAGCCAGGTGTTTACTGTCACAGATCCCTCTTGCTCTCTGAAACAAAGATTTACCCACGGTAGCTAACTGTGAAGGATGGTGGTGAGAATCACCGTTTAAATATCTATCTGTATGGGTCTTTTTTCTATACACAGTATGGCTCAAGGTGTTATCAGGATTCCGAATTACTAACACATCTAGAAAAGCTAAGGAATTGTTTGCCTCTAACTCCATTGTGAACTGAATTTTAGAATTTATAGAGTTAAGATGGTCTAAAAATGCAGTTACTTTGTCTAAAGGTAGAATTGTGAAGTGTCGTCTACGTACCGCTTGTAGAATCTTGGATTTATGGGAGAACTAAGCAGGGCTTTCTCCTCAAAGTCTTCCATGAATATGTCGGCGACAATGGGAGATACAGGTGAGCCCATCGCCACACCATCTACTTGCTTGTAGAACTCCTCCTTCCACAATAGGTAGCCAGATGTAAGGCATTGTCTGAGTAATACTGCATATTCTACGGGCATGTTGTTTTCTTCCAGCCTTCTAGTTACAATTGAGATGCAGTCTTCAATAGGTAAGCTTGTAAACAATGACTGCACATCAAAACTGACCATGGTTTCATTGTCTGCCAGATGTAGGTCTTTAATCTCGCTGGCAAAATGGTAGGAATCCTTTATGTGTGCTCTTGTATGTCCCCTGAGCGGTGAGAGTATTTTCGCTAAGTGTTGAGCCAATCTGTAAGTTGGTGAATCGATTTGGCTCACTATGGGACGTAATGGAGCATTGGGCTTGTGTATTTTTGGTAACCCACATAATTTTGGTGATTTGGCGCACGTAGGTATTATTCATTTTACGTCCAGATTTAATTTTTCGGAGTGTTTCTTTATGAGGTCACTAGTTGTTTTTAGTGTGCTATTTGTTGGGTCGTTTTTAACCTTTTTTACAAGTACTTACATCCGACAAAAGTTCTTGTATTTTAGAATTATAATCTGACGTATCCATGACTACCGTGGCGTTTCCCTTATCTGCACGGAGAATCGTAAGTTCTTGTTTATTGCGTAGGTTCTTTAACGCTATAAATTCGTCTTTGGGAAGATTCGATTTAGACACTGAACATCGACGTAACATAGACGAAATGTCTTGACGTATCGCCTCCAAATCTTCTTTCCGCATATTGTTTTTAAATAAACAGTCCTCGACGCTACAGATAATTTCTTCGTACAGTAATTTGCGGGGTGTAATAGGAAAGTTGAGGCCTTTGGATAAAACCCTAATTGTTGCATCATCCATTGTTTGTTTTGACAGATTATAGAGCGCGATTAATCTATGATCTGTGTTTGTCAATGGTTGCTTTTGGTTCTGGCATTGATTCAGATGTTTGACATTTGACTTGTTCGTTAATTTTTGATATTTTTCTATATGTTTGTTTTTGCATTCGTTATATTTTCTAATTTCGCGTTTATTTAATGTTTCCATGCAAAAATTATAGTCAAACGTCGTTAAAACTTTCTTTAATTCACTGGATGATGTGTCTACGGATTTGTTTATGTCATATAGATCGGAGCGTTTTTGTTGGATTACCGTCCGTAACAACTTTTTACTCGCCTGATTTAAGATCTTAGCGCTTCCTCGAAAGTCCTTTTTGGTTGATATTTTGACACACGTAGGAATGAGATTATGGTCTCGGCATCTCTTCACGAAATTTAAAGCTGTTAGATATCTTGCGCGCTTGGTCTTTAGATCTTCTAATCGGCGTATTTTATTTGCAATTACCAGTCCGTACTGGTTTACATAATGATTTCTTATATTTACGCGAACACTACACATTGAAATAATACTAGTTTTTACGGAATTTATCGCGTATATTTAACTTTTTAAATACCCGACGTTTCGAACGCTTTACAGCACTCATGGTCACGGGCGGGACTGAGATGTTCAACGTCCATATGTCATAGTTAACCGCGGTTACCATAGATTAAAATTTAACTTTTGTTCCGATCTATGCAGTATGAACTTATGGTATCTTGAAGTCTTGCAGTTGTATGCTTGGGTTGGGATTTAATTTTATTTATTATAGGATCCCAAGCAGATGGTAGCACCCAGCCATCTTCTCTATTATATATATATATATATATATATATATATATATATATATATATATATATATATGTTCTTTAGCGAGAATTTGCGGTCTATCAAATCTGATGTAGTGACGGGGGCGATCCTGTACGTGTTCACAGACTGCAGACTTCCCGGAGCGTCGATTCTTCACATCAGCTATATGTTCTTTAACGCAGGTTTTTATTGATCTTTTAGTTTGTTCTATGCAGGAGAGACCACATTCACAATCAAGCTTGTACACTCCTGCATCTTGCAGAGGGACATTACACTTGACTGATGGTAAAAACTGACCAATCAATCTTCTTCAGCGGCTTGAAGTATGTTTTGATGGAAGCGCGCTTCAAGATGTAGCCAATCTTGTCAGTGACTCCTCTAATATATGGCAGTACAGCAGGTACACGCTCGACTGTGGCCGGCTTCACTCGTTCACT